ATTCTAGAGTGAAAACTTTTTAAATTTGTGACATCAAGATATGTATGTTTAAATATTATCTAAATATTAATATATTCGTTTTGGTAATGAAGAATAGTCTAGTTATGATAACTTTCATATTTGCGCTATCTAACTGCCTTAACATAAGATAACGTAAGCCTGCTATGTGTTAAGGTACAGCTATGGAATGTATGGAGTCAAGCGAATGGAATTAACAGTGAAATCCCACTAATCTAGTTCAAAGCAGTTAATGACAAGCTTAACTATTTACAGTCTCAAATTGTAGAGGTCAACTAAAATGAGTTTGAAACATGCTTGAATAAGTGTTTTGAAGCAGGAAAAGGCGTGCAAAGACATAATGTCCGAAATTTTCAGCTTAATTGCTGACTATGATTTTTAACTCTGCTTAATCTTATTCTACATATCATCTTTTGATAACAAATTAATCAAAATTTATTTTCCCTTCTCTTTATTATCAATATTTCATTTTGTTCTGAACAATTATTGTTGCAATTCCAAGTATTCCACTATGTTCATACTTATATAATTTATCTTGAATTATTTAAAGAAAACAGTGAGATTAAGGATATTAAAATATAGCTAAACTTAAATATTTTCATTTACAATGTGTAACAATATTGATTGTAAATAAAGTCAGATTAATAGGATCATACATTATTTAAAAAATAAAATTATTATGATTTCTCTTGTCAAATTAATTAAATCAATCAATTTACACATTAAAGTTTTGTAGAATTACTTTATCCTTGGATATTTAATTTTTTAAGAACATATCAATATATAAGAAGCTTCAAACTAAGCTTTCTAACGAATAAGATATTAATAAGGAAAGCATATAAATCGTTTTGAATGTATAAACTCAACTATTCTAAGATTTTTATATATTGTAATTTTAAAGGAGAGAAGATTAAGAATAGCTTTGATTTGTTAAATACTAATAGTGATTATAAAGAAAACTTAAAATTAATTGGAATCTATCGCGAGTCCTCTTTAAAATTTTATAAGAATGATTCATGCCTATTGCGCTTGTGCTATAGTTTAAGGTGTGAGCCTAAGTTTTGCATGGATTGTTGGGATCAAATGATAGAAATTTAATTATCAAACTTTATACCGATTGTGAAAATTTTAGAATATCGATTTTTCGTAAGATTACCTCATTTGTATTGGAATAGAATTAGTCTTACAAAGAAATATTGGTAAGAGGATGTTGGATAATGATAAAAATTTTACTTGGTGTCCAGCTATAGATGAAATATTATTTATAAGGATTTTAATGTTAATACATTTATAAATTAGAGTAGTTTTCATAGAAATAGAAATGCCTTTGTGGGTTAAGTTTTGTCCAAATTGTAAGACGGATAATCATTAACCCATAACTTGCCATATTTGTAATGAAATCACATAGTTTAAAGAAGCAAATTAATCTTGGATATCATTAGATTTCTGCATGTCCTAATTGCAAGAGGTACATACAAAAGATTCAAGACTGCATGTAAATTTCATGTGTTTATGGGAATGACTTCTGTGTGAATTGTTCATTGCCTTGGAATCCAGATCATGGATAGGACTTTTATAATTGTCCATTTGCAGCTCATAATAAAAACCCTTCTTAAATAATGATTTAAATGTGCCTAAATGAGGCTGCTATATCAAGGATTATTTTTGAATGAGAGTATTATCAGATGTTACTAAATTAATAAAACCATAATGATTCCACACACATACTGAGGAGAAGTTTGAATAATTTAATAAAATTTAAGAAATTCGAAAATTTGTAAAATTTTATTTTAGTTAGTATTTTATATTATACTTATTATTTAAATGAAAAATTTTGTAATCAAGGATTCGATCACAGTCAGGAAAAATATTCTTAAGAATCAAAAATCTACTATAGAATTCTACTAAATTAATTATCAAGTATTCTTGAGGAAGTCTAGAAGGCTGAAAAAAATGAAATGATTAAGTTCAACATTTTTTTTAAATTTGGAGTTTTAGATGGATTTGAATTTGTTACTTAAAAATAATGTCTTAAAAAATAAATAATTGAAATCAATAAGAAAAGCAGTAAAATATACACTGAATATAATTAGATTTAAATTAATATAAAATATGGATAATGATTCTACAAATTCTACTCAATAAGTAGCAGAACCAGAATAACAATAGAGAAGTGCTTCCACATCAGAAATAGAAGATCTCATTGGCAAGAAAATTCCTTAAGTATTAGAATGAAAATATCTAATTAATAGTTATTGGTCTAGCCTGAGACATAACACAAGCAAACAATGGACAATGAGGAATAATCAAAAATGTTGAAAATGTTATTATTTAGTGAGTCTCAACTAGCCCCAACTTAGCCACCTCCAGATGAAGTTGTTACAGCTTAAAAAGAATAGCAAAAACAAGATATAAATGGAGATGATGTAAATCATTAGAATCATGAAAATGTTACAAGAATTGATAGAGAAATGCAATGTACTAAACAAAAATATTGTAGAATCTGATATTGACTTGATAAGAAACAGCTTTAAAGGTCATTTTGTATTTTTTAGTCTGTCTGAAGATTAAATAGCTAAATTAATAGAACAGATGTTTTACTGCACTTTAAAAGCTAATTAGTTTATATTTAAATAAGGAGATCAAGTATTGCATTCGTCTCTAAAATTAGGCTAGCTCTTATTTTGTGATTGAAAAAGGATCTGTAGAAATTATCATAAACGATAGACAAATTCGAACATTAGCAGAAGGCAGTTATTTCGGCGAAATTGCACTTCTTTACAATACCACACGATCTGCTTCTATCAGAACTCTAACAGATTGTGGATTTTGGTCTTTGGATAGTAGTACATTCAAAAAAATAATTGAGAAGTTGATGTTATAAGATTATGATGAAAATAGAAAATTTATAGACGAAGTACTAAATCTTAGTAGAAATAGGTTCCATTTTTCTCATTTATGACATCAGAACAAAAAGATCAAAGTGCATATGCCTTAATCACAACTAAATTTGCTCCAGGCTAAGCAATAGTCAATGAAGGAGATTAGGCTGACTCATTTTATGTGATAAAGAGTGGTGAAGTATCAGTTCTCAAAGGAACAAAGGAGATCAGAAAGATGGGTGCTAAGGATAGCTTTGGGTATATGCTAGAAAATTATAATTAGAGAATAAGCCTTATATGAAAAATCTAAAAGAGAAGTTACATTTGTTGCTGAAACAGAAGTTAAATGTGTTGCCTTGGGCAGAGAAAACCTGATTTTAGGAGATAAAGTCCAAATTATCATTTTTTGGAATATCATGAGATGGAGTTTTGAGAAAAGTGAGGTTTTAAAATAATTATCAAAAATTTAACTCGAAAAAATAGTTTAGAGAGCTAAGATTGACAATTATAAGAAAGGCTAAGTTATTGTAGAGGCTGGCAAAGCTTGTGATAAATTAATTGTAGTTTTAGAGGGAGCGATGACTAATTCTAAATAAGACTCAGTGCCAAAAGGTTTGTGTTTTGGAGATTAATTTTTAATGAGGGAAAAATATGGATAAATAATTGATTCTGAATATGCAATGGTTAGAGATGGTGTATTAGCTACTATCTCAAATTAAACTCTCTTTTTAATTTTTGGGGGAGATTTAGAAACTGCATTAAAGAAAAATGAAAATTCTCACGAAAAGAAAATTAAATAATTAGGTGAAAGAGCAGATGCCTCTCACATCTCATTTGAAGATTTAATTTATATCGATAAATTAGGATAATCAGACTTTGGTATGATCTATTTGGTGAAGCATAAATCAATTAATAAATTTTTTGCTCTTAAAGTTGTTAACAAAGCTTAAGTAGATGAGTAACAGCTAGAAAAGGCTAGTCTGCTGGAAAAGACTGTATTGGAACAATGTAATTTTCCTTTTATTATGGGCTTTGCTAGAACATTTAAGGATGACATTTCTATCTACTTTTTATTAGAATATATCAGAGGAATCAAATTGAGTGAGGTAACATTTAAGATCTATTTTCCAAGGTAATTAGTGACATAGGTCCATTAACAGAGTACGATACTTAATTTTATGTGGCTTCTATGATTTTAGTATTAGAATATCTACATTCCAAATCAATAGTATATAGAGATTTAAAACCTGAAAATATTATGGTAAATGATGCTGGTTACATATACCTAATAGATTTTTGGACTGCAAAACCATTAATTAAATCAAGAACTTACACAATTATTGGTACTCCTTATTATATGGCCCCAGAGATTCTACAGCACAAGGGATACTCATTTAATGTAGATCTTTGGAGTATGGGTATATGTATGTATGAATTAATGTGTGGAGCAGTTCCTTATGAAAAAGATGTATCTATTTGTTTCAGCTTTAGGACCCTTATGAAATTTATGAAGCGATATTGAATACAGAATTAAAATTCCCTACCTTCATTAGAGATGGACAGGCTAAGAAGCTTATGGAATAATTGCTCAGTAAACAACCAGAAAAGAGATTAGTATCATCATTTTCTGCTTTAAAAGCTAATCCATGGTTTGATGATTTTGATTTTGATAAATTGTTCAGCAGAGAATTATAAAAAGTTCCTGTATTAATTTTAATCAATATTTGTTTAGTATGTTCCTCCTAAAGATCAAATGATCTCAGAACGCCGTATTGAGAAGATATTCTAATAAGGTAAGCCAGTTGTTCAAGAAATCAAATAAAAACAAACAATGCAATAATATAAGTACAGAAAGTAATTAGCCAAAGATCCTAATTGGGACAAAGATTTCTGATCATTTGCTTATTCCATTTATTGACCAAAATAATTATGTCCAAATATTATCATTCAGACTATTTATTAGTTATTTACCAATTTTAATTTATGGTTTTCTATTTTATTATTAACTTACAACTAAAAAGGGTAAGACCAAATTTAAGCTCAATTTTCATTTATTATTAACTAATAATTAATAAAATTGAAAATCTTCTAACCTATTGTACAAAAGTATTTGATCAATCATCTCAAATAAATAATCTATGTATGAGATTATAGTAATTTATTTGCTTGAGTAAGCTTCTTCCAATTTTATAAGATATTTAGAATTACAAATTTATCTATTTGAATAATATTAGATATATTGAACTAAGAAATGTAGATACAAAACTAAATTGAGAGATTATCTCCAAATGCAATATTTGGTTGAGCACTGATCTTAAGATGGAGGAAAGATATTAAAGATATAAAACACTTAATCACAAGTAATAACAACAATTTTATCTATTAAGATATTATTATAGATCAATATCATCCCCATAATTCTGTAATTAGCTAATGCTTCTGCTCCAACTCACTAATATTTTTAAATGCTAAATAAGGTGCAATATTTTCAATCTGTTTATACATGTCCTGTAACTTGTTTGTAATATCTCTACCCATTTATGCTGATCCACATATACATATGATTCCTTCCATTTATAAATGAGAATGCATTTAGTGTAAATCCATAATATCTGTCACATATTATTTTACAGCCTTCGTTCAAAAGGCAACTTTCAAATTACTCAAAGTACAGTTCTTCTCATAATGCTTCAGTTCTTCTTCAAAAAAATATTCATCTTCGGTTCTGCATCCAAATAATAATACCATATTTCCTTAAAATAATTAGATAGTTCCGTTAATTGTTTTTTTGTGATCAAACCAGTAAAATCACAATACCTATTTATAATATATATTTCTATACTTTTATAAATAATTATAGATTGAAATTGGATTAGGAAATGGATGATGCTTCATTATTTTAATTACTTCAATTTTCATATTTTTATCAAATCTCATTTAATTACATAATTCATTGATATCTTGGCTAATAAGTAAAATATTAATATTACTCTGAGTTCAATGGATAAATGGCTATATTACTTGCAGTCACATAGTTAATATTATCAGCAACAAGGTCCATAAATAGAGTTGAGTTCCCAGTGTTGGTTTCTTCTTTAGTTCTCTAATTTCATTTATAGTGAAGGTACAAATTTTCAAGATTTACATTTTTAGGTTCATTTGTGTATTTGATCTTTTAAATTGATGATTCAAACTTTTTCGAATCACATTTCTATGCAGGATATGTTTTAATAAGGGT